ACGCGGATTCCCGTCTCTTCATTCATTGCCGAAACTCCACATGTATTAAAGCCATTATGTATACTCCCCAGAAGTGTTAATTCAGAGTTACTAAGCCAGTGCTCTTGAATTAACACTATGTCATGAGAGTCACAGAGAGCGTGAATATCGTTAATAGAGGATTTTGCTCCACGACAGTTGAATAAAACTATTCGTACAGACATTGTTATTAGTAATACTTGCGAATAAGAATTCCAGTTGGCCACACAGTGGGGTCCATAATCTGCTAAGAGAACTCTCGCGTGGTTTCAATAAGAAATGAAGATTATGTGTCGAACTTAGTTTTGAGTTTTTCGCAGTTAACTTGCACGTTAAGCGACTTTTTAACAAAGCTTTGAATATCTTCCGTTGATGTCAAAGGTGAAAGCCTGGTAATAAACACCCTAAATGGTGGATTGTAATGAACAACTTTAATGGCACAGTCTCTGTCTGGATCAGCAATACCCACTCTGGGGCCTCGTTGATTTTTACGTTTACGGTTCACGGTGGTAAAACCAGACTGACGTTCGCATTTTTTCTTTTATTCTAGATTACGATTTTAGCAATCATATCAATGAAGCTTCAAATACATGTACAATAAGACAATAAAATAAAATGATTTCAAGTACTAAGCGTGCTCATTGAATATACACGCTCATCTAGCTGTCACGACCTCTCATTAACCCGAGCAGTGGCCGTCAGAGGGCGCAATACATTACTGAGTAGTGAATCTAAGCGATGGCGTCGTTCAGCACACGACAACAATTAGCTAATTTTGAAGTTTTGGACCACTGGGTACAGTAGTATAATATATGACAGACATTGTGTTTTCCTCACAAAAACTGATTATAGTTAGTGATAATGCTGCCGATTACAAACATTAACAAAAATTTAAGTTGTCTTGATCAGTTCATGGAACTAGGGGTTTATAGTTCCATGATCAGTTGTATTATGTAATGTACCAGTATTGTTTTAGTTCACGTGCGGGCATGACACTAACAACGCAATCTATAATACAGTTCAATATTTGTTTAGCTAGAATTAATTTTCGCTAAAAAGACATTGGCTTTATGAACTTTATTTTCACTGATTTTTGATGAGTTGAATGTAAGATATAGAAAAAATATATTTCCACTGATTCATCCTTTCAGCGAAAATAAAGTAGTTTACACACAGTCCTGTGGTTTACAGAAGTCCAGGTATTACTCGAATACACAGTGATTCACGCGAACTTCACACATCCGGTCAGTGGTTTACTCAGTCCACGGCGTAGGCGTGAAAGCATGCAGTGCCCAGCAGGCATGGATGGATGGATGTGTAGCAGCCTAGCTACGATGACTTGACTGCCGATCCGTGCAGTTAATGCCTGTTTAGCTGCCTACGTTGATCTGCAAACAGTCGACTCAAATCTGTCTTTTCTATTTCATCAAAACATCAGTGATAATGGCAGTCGGCTCATATTATAAGCCGATATTTATTTTATTAATGTTTTAAATCATAATTCGTTTAAGGAGGGAATATATTTTTATTATATTTAGTTAGTTTCAGAAGATATATAACCTCGTATTTTCTGTCAGTTTGTAAATATTAAGCGGAAATGAAACGGACATCCCCATATTCATCTACACAGGCGTTGGCGGTGTACATCACATGACCATGTCACGTGACACCGGCGGGTAGATATTTATACCTAACAAACGATCACCTTACATTGAGAGCTCTTATACCTGGTCAGTGAGTGAGTCAGTAGTGACGAATAGTCGACATAGGGAACACCGAATTTATCGTGCGGGCGCACATCGAGACAGCGTAGAGACTCCGATTATAAGGTTTGTAGATTATGTATCGCTAGTGTAGGTGCCACGATGTGATCGTTGTAAAATTGTATGTTTAGTTCGGCACCGGTGGACTTACGTTTTGCCTGCACCCACCCACCACCTTTGGAGACCATGGTATCGGGTCATGGGTGTCTTTTCACTCAGTTAACAGCAGTTATCATTATCATTGCAGTGTGTCGTTTCAAATCCATTTGTGCCGCTATTTTAATTCCTGGCAATTGCCTCAGAAACCTTGAGTGTATTGTCAGTATTCAAACAGCGTCCATGCAATGCAGCCTTTCCAAACGCATCAAGCTCGCTGGCAATCATGCCGTCCTGCGTTTTCTGTAAAAGACACTACACGCTTGATTACCCCACTGTTGAAACTATTAAGGCCAATTCAGTGGCGGGGAACTTCCGCGTTTTCGTCAAAATCGTTTTCAAACTGCATTTCTCGTTTTGTTGTATTGTAACGTGTTTCTTTTAATCGCTGTTACGTAATCTAACCAAGGCCATAGCAACAGTTGGCGGGTTGGATGTTATCGGGGAATTTCACGGAATATGAACTTCACTGTGACGTGTGTTCTAAGCAGAAGCGATACGTCATATCGCATTTTACACACAGGGCTTGTTCATGTTCAAACCAAGAAATATTCCTCGAGGGAACGGCCTTTTAAAATAATCGGAGGTGGCTGGAGGATTTGTTGCGAACAAATTGTAGGCTGGATACAGAGAAGAAAAAAGAATGTTCGCACGTTCAAGAAAAATATGCATTTAAAAAATGCACTGGTCACACTTTTCCCACTCACCTATAATTTTTAATGGCTGGCCCCTTAAAATAGCGGAACTTTGGTCAAGGTATGCACGATCCCCTGTCGTTATGCACATCAATATTACATCTCCAATAAATACTTGCTACTGCGCTACACCTGCGGTCAAAGTTCACATTCTATATTTGGCTAATTGTTTATCAAAGGTCACCATACCTTGACTCAATAACAGATAATACATATCCGTATTAGCGCAACGTATTGTCATGTGTCGTTATGTTTTACTGGTATGCACTAAAACTCGTTTGTATCTTTGGGCGAGGCCACATACATGATTAACTCGACGTAGAACCAGTCACTTTTATGTCCTGCAATGACTTACACGATTTACGACAGTATAAATTGTACCATGGGGTGTGTAGCTCCGTGTTGGTACCATGCAAAGAGTTAGTATTCATTCGTGTGTATGCAAGGGCATATCGCTGGCTATATGTATGCCCTTGGCCGAAATCTGCAGATTTAGATTTTAGTTCCTAACTAAATAAATAAATAAATACGCCAGTAAAAAGTGTCCCGTAAACAGACTGCAGTTTTATTTCACGAGAATAACAGTAGGGAAAACCGCCACACGGTGTAAGCACGTGTTAAAAGTGCCATATTATTTATTTGTAGTGTTTTGTTGACATTGTCTTTTTTTCGATTCTTGTTACAGGAAACTTCCTCCTGTGAACTTCTCAGTATGGTTGTGTGTGTGAAACCCGGCCAGCCATGTGACTACACGGTGGAACACACCAATGGACACATTGTTCCGTACGTGTATAGTGAGACCATATCGCTAGCCAAGTCACCGGCATCAGAGGAGTACACTTTTGGGCAGTCCTGTAAGTACGAGCAACACCAACGTTACAAAGAGAGCGTACAGTGCACGCCTAAATTGGTTCCCACGTCGTACAGCACAACTGTAGCATGCGAAGACGGAACACGCTACCACAAAACGGAGATACTTATGACACCTTCTATGAAAGGAAGACGATTCCAGTCTACCGTGTACATATTTCCAAAATACCCCGTCATAAGTTACTTGAGTACAGTGAACCATCACATGGAAGGCACTAGGAAGTGGTACAAAAGTGCCTTGGAATTGGAGGCAAAGGATTACGCTACCATGAAAATACTATACCGCGCCTGAAATTTACGACCCTCTACATTACCATGGCTACTCGCCGCGTTGAAGCAGGGACCAGTTCCTGTAGCTGTATTTCCACTGGATTCCACATGGATGCATTTTAAACAGTTTCTCTTTATAATGTGAATAGAATTTTTTTAACTGTGTGGACAATCGAAGTCTGTGCATATAGTAACGTCTTGATCTGGTCACCATGTGTGAACACAATACTTCATTAGATACACTTTATGACATACTAGTATATAGCAGTAAGACAACATATATCATTCTGTGCATTTATTTATTTAGGGACCAGTATATCTGTATTATGACGAACCCATGTTTGTAGACAGACCGCGTTTCTATTTTTAGCTGCAGGGCGTTGGCTGGCAAGCACGAAACTCTTCTCAGAGTTTGCACTTTCTCCAACGTACACTCAAAAGCGATCTCTTCATTCGTCACTCATTGTTCTCTGTTTTTTACATAACAAGTGAAGGGTCGTTCTTTTTATTCTATAGTTATGTGCTCTGTTACGTCTACGGCTCATTTGCGATATAGTGTGTTTATATTTAGTATGTACACAGAACCGCCATAGGTTTCTATAGCCCATGATGCTGACAACATTGGGATTTTATTTACCGGTTTATCTCAACTAATGTATTGTTTTAAAGAAAAATAACATTGTTGGTGGCGGTAAATAACACGTACTTTACAAACCAGTACGGTTGTGATATATCTGCTAGTGTGATAGCACTCTAACAATCGAGCAATATTTCATATATAATTCGTTTTGGTGAACACGACATTTGAAATACAGCTATTTGTATATTGTTGTTCATGGATGGTCTATCATTTGTCGAGACGCCGTGATTGTTCACGTCCTATTATACCCGATAGTGTTTGAATAGTCTGGGTCTCTAGAACCGGGTGTGGACCTACCTCCCACCCTCACATGAGGGGTCATATATCGCACGTGTTGGGCATACAGAATCACTCGCAAGAAGTCAGAGTTGTTGTTTTTTATCGATGATCGTTCTTTCTAGGTGTCCCCATTTTGAATGGAAAGGGACATGGGGCTTGACCTCGTCACCTATACTTATCTCGCACTCTTGTGCCATACTGGAACGCCCGTAATTAAATCTCCAAACAAAACCATGATCTAAACTACCTACTCCAACTTTTCCCTGCATTTTTTGTTGTTGTAGGAATGCGCGCTGTCGTATTGCATCTCTATTTTTACAGATATGCTTTCGAAATTTCTTCAATTATTTGGGCGGGGGAGGCAAAACCCAAGTCTCCGTTCTCGGGCGTTCCATGGATGCCAATGTCAGTACAAATTGAGCTATTATCGCTGTCTTTATTTTTGGTGTAAGTTGATATCACTCGACTTCTGTCTTAACGTAATGCTACAGACTAGGCCACAGACGCTGTGTAACTACCTCCAGGCTATACTAATGTTTACGTTAAATGGAGTATTCGCTTACTCCTGTTTCTGTCACTGAAACCGACGTTCTCCTGGCAGGATCTTAAAGTGCACATCGTCTCGTGCACTCTTTCGTTGTTCCTATGGAAACGCCCGACCTCCGGGTTAAATACAACTAGTCTTATATTAAAGATGTAATTCTGCTCACCATGAACCGAATTCTGATGTCGATATTTGTTTCTATTACGTGACGGTATTCAGTTTTCGACCACTCACCCACCCAAAAAACAACTTCGTACTGGTGGCATTATACTCCGCGACAATGGTGTATAGATCCGAAACACACGCAGCACAAATTATTGTCAGTTAAAAAAAGCTACGTAATTGCCGGCAATTCCCCTCAAATATCGTACCCGTGAATAATTTTGGAGTTTATAACACTGTTATGTATGTTATATATACATATGTGTAATCGCAGTGTGCGTAGATCCGGTTGAAAAAAATAATATCCCGTACCCCAGCTGTGTGTATATACCCGGGTTCAGTCACCTGTGTCTACCAAATGTGTTAATGGGCGGCACAATGTAGCGTAAAAATTGAAATTACATTTGTTAGTGCTCTGACGAATTATTTATGTTTTTAAATAGTTTTAAAAATTGCAGGAGATTATTTGGTCCTAAATGAAATACCTAACTGAGTTTTATATCCAGTGTTATATCCAAAGAGCTTCTGCTATATGCGGTATCTATGCGACGACAAATACCCGGATGTTAAGATTAAATTGTGTACCCTGGGTTTTATGGCATACTTGTCAATCTTCTGTTTTTGTGCATATTTAATTCAGTTTAATCTTTTAAATATTTGAGTAGGTTAAAGTGGGTTACATTTTCTATAACAATTACATCGAAAATACAGTCATGGCGAGTAATACTGAAATTAATCACCAGACAACACAAGCGGTTGAACTTATTAATCTGATGGATATTAATATTGGAAGTCAGTTGAACTTGTGACTCATTTTCTACTTAGCGTGAAACTCTGCATGCACGTCTCGTCTGTATAGGAAAACGCAGAGCCACGGAAGTGTCTCAACCGTACAAAGACTTTTTGAAGGTCTGCATTCTAAATGACAATACAAAATTAGTTTGGAATTGGAATTGAACATGGATTTTACAGTTTTGTGACAAAAATATAAATTGTGTCTAAACTATACACTACACCTTCAAATACGGGAAACTCCCCAGGATAGTGAAAATGTTAACACAAGCAAATATGAATGCCCCTTTAGATAATAAAAGTTAGTAGATTTACTGAATTCCACTAACTGCACGAGAACTTTACATTTGTTTTCAATTTATCATTTTTTGTTTGGGTGGTTGGGTGTTGTGATGACGAAATTCCGCGTCCTTTTGTATCAAAATATGTCGTTTATTTGTTTAAGTGTCACGGGACAAAAATAGCAGTCTTGTGAATTTTAACAATTTTCTTTAATTATTCATTAAATAATCATTTCTGTGGGATGCATTTTACACTTCTTATTCTCAGGGGCATTGGAGCTGCGTGTGTAAACGATTCAAATTATTTTGTAATCGTTTAAATATTTTACTTGTATGACAATGTTGCGGATTTCTATATGTAATTGTTAAGGATTTCGGAATAAAATCAAGGTTATTTTCACATTTGTATCCGATGTTTGTTACAGGTGGGTGTGTTTATTCAAAACTCGTGTTCATATTTTGGTTCTTATGTATACCCTTAATAGCAAAGTACTTTGTAATATCCAAAACCAAATTGTGGTGGGTCATCGACCGTTTTACTTAAGTTTGCGTTTCAAAAATGTGTCCGATTTCAAAATTGTTGCTGAAAAAATAGGCGAACAACAAATTGTGACATAACTTCTCGTGAGTTATGCGGATTTCATGAAATGTCCGTGGATCGTATTAACAAATAGTAATTATTCTATTTCATGTAATGTCTGTTTTATTATATTTCGGCCAATAGGCATGCCAATTAGAGGACAAATTATTATATAGGATCTTGAATACAGACTATGTACGTAATCTTGTACGGCATACGACAATATGATGTAATATGACACATACCACTCCGGTAGTTGTCACCGCGATGACACTAAATGAATGCACGTACCGAGTCTGAATAGTGTATTTATTGCGTCAAGTTGTGGTCGGTTTGGTTATGCACCCGTTCCATGACCGTTGATAGACCCGGACGACATCGGACATGGGTCGACGACGACTTACGTCATGTCACTGTATGATTTACACACAGCATGTTACGATTTATTGTACCGCTTTATATCATGGCTATTCAACTCCTTTACCTCTGTTGCCCAGCTCTGTATAGAGAACACACCGCATAAACCAATGTCTATAGCGTCAATAACAAAATAACAATCTCAAGTGAGAAGTTGTTTTGGAAATACAACGGGTCTCAAGAAGGTGTGAATTTGTTTTATGGACAGTTATTTTGTAAAACATTTATCCTGAAAGATCCTCGCGCTTCTTTCAACTTCAAAGTAGATGTTTTCATAGAGTGTAGACAACATTTGGTAACGCCCATTTCTTTGCATGGTTTTAGTCTTCAATTTGAATCATTGGTTGATTTACTGCCATGAATGCAAAGGATAGATTCCATAAAATTTGTTTAAAATGCTTGAAATTGCAGTGATTTGTTCGTGTAAACAAATATATAAGAACTAGGACAAGTCGCACCGTTATCGTTTGACACGCCGAACGTTAAATTGCGAAAACAAACAGTGTTTCAATGTTTTAATGTGATCCTTTGTATTCCAACTAAATTTTATATATTAGCTCCGAGCCCGGTAACATTTTCTCAACTTTTCTTTTTTATTTATATATTTTTGTTTACTGTTCATGGCTGCTTATGTTAACATTGTTTACCCGCCACAACCCGTCAGTGTTCTTTCTATCACACATAGACATTTACAGAGCACATCGTTGACCCTGTCTGTGTTCACAGGTCATCTCACAGCGGCGACCTTGGCAAATTTACCGCCAGACACTTTGGTGTTAATATTATAGGTCTCCCGCGCTTCCTTGGCTTTGACATTGAACAGCCCAGGCAATTAAAGAACAGAAAGCAGTGCAATGTGATCAGCTTAACAGAAGAGTCAAATGCCCTAGAAAGTAAGCCATTCTTGTCGTTATGAAAAGAGTAGACCCTCTCGTTTTCTGAAAGGAACAATGATACTATTATTGCCTTTACGCGTAAGGAGATGACTGGCATAGTCACCGTGACGTCAGAATATTCACCGGTAAATAATGGACGCACAACCACGTCGAGTGTCATCTCCCAGGTGGCGCACCTTACTGGCTGACCATTAAACCACACGTGAGTAAATGACCAATTCTAAATCCAGGAGTGGTGGATCCCGAAGTGTTTTTGACCTATCCCATAATATTTCAATAGCAATAGTTGTAGTAGTCAATTTCTCTGTTAATGTAGGAAGCCTACTCATATTGTTTAAAATCATAAAGCTATTGTTCTATAGCACCATAAAATAACATTTGTTGATTTTTTTTAAAACCCAGATTTTGAATAATTGAGGACAACAACAACTTACCAGGCTATAATTTGAGATATTGCATAATATATTCACACAGGAACCTATGGTAAAAGCGATATTATACTGCCAAAATGGCCACTACCCATTAAAATACAACTATAATTTTTTCGAAAATTAAGCTAGTGATCCCAACATTTTTAAGTCCTTGTATTGCTCGGAAAATGAATAAATTCTGGGTATTTGCATTCATGAGTAGGCTTCAGTTTAATCACTTTGCAGTACTAAGATTCAAGGTAAGACCACCCATATGACACGGCCTTGGCGTAGTAATACCACGTCATGTATGATACATTACATCGACACTGACAAACATTCCAATTCCCGCGAGAATATATGCGAGAAACACACATTCTTGCGAGATCAACCATTTCTACGCCAAGACATATTAGGCATAAGCTTGCCATAATCTCCGGAATGTAAGTAAACAGTGAATTGAGTAAAAAGTCTTGATATTTCATGAATATTTCATTCATAAACTAGTTTGTAACAACAAGTTTATTTTTAAAAAAAGGTACAGACGACAATATTGAAGAACAAAATAAATATTACGCTTGAAATCCCGTGTATCGTTTTCGCAGGTTGTATCGGTCCTTCAAATCGTTTAGCTGGGAACGCCATCTACGGTCAACTTTCAGAGAGGTAGTCGTGAATTGATTATCCGTATACGTAATACAGAGAACAGAGTGTTTGCGGCTGAGGAGTCTCAAGTGAGATCACGTATTGGAGACTGGCATTTATTGAGGATTTCTTTTGTGTACAGTGTTACTGATTGCCAATTTTCTTGAACAAAGCGGTGACTATGTGTGATTAATGTAGTACCTCGTCAATCTACAACGACGATATTTTCTTCAGTACACGGGACCGTCGCCCAGCAATGGTCGTCATGTTACGCATGTGTGAGATTTGTGTTGGATGAACAGTGTTTTCCCACAATCCAATGCGACCAGATCAAAAACCCATGTGTTGCGCATTGTTTTCAGAGTGCACGCCATTTACCACCCGTTAAAGGGCGGTAGTCATCGCATCACGCATGTTCGACATTTGTTTTGATGAACATTCAAGTTGATTTTCCCACAATCCATTGCACTCTTTTAATGGAGATCACAATGATGTTTGACCTGGGCGCGACTTGCACTAATTACCGCCGGTGACTCCTTCGATACCTTCCAATCACCTAAAAATACCTAGCTTGGTAACGTCTTAGTTTGTATTCGTCGTTGATCTGTTGCCATCTTTGTTTATATGTAATATTTTATTAGACGCATACAATTCTTAGGAAAAGATATAAAAGGTCTTACACTAAGAAATTTAAAAAAAACTATAATCTACAAAAATCAAAAACAAATATGAATAAAGACAATTTGCAACCAATGGTAAATACAGAATATAGAATGAACACAAATTGTAACCTAATACACTGATAGTTGTTGCTGTTTTGTTCCATAGCTGTTTTTTAGGAAGACTGCTAAGGCTGGTGCTAGAGTATGGTTCCCCATAATCAATATGAATTTATTCTGGCTGTTTTCTTTATCAAAATTTGGAACTTTATTTTGTGCAGTCAGGAATAATTTGTCCCTATGATGACTGTAAGCTGGACATTTCATTAC